GCGCCCAAAATCTCCCTGGAGCACCGAATGATAGGTGCGATGGAAGCGCGGTATAACGGGCCGTTCTCGAGAATACACAGGGCCGTAAGGGACCTCGTACCAGCCGATGGTTGATCAGCCTTTCCAAAACCAGTCCTCAAGAGCCTCATTTCCTGATCAGACGCCCCGAAGACAGCCGCCCCATACGTCACCGAGGCAACGGGCCCAGACACGAATATGTTACGGGAATGGCGTCCAAGCGCCTGTCGACATTTGAAAGCCCTTTTGACTCTCTGACGAAAAACACGAGATCGAGCAGCAGCTTTGCGGCCACGACCTCTGGCACGACGCGCCTGCCCAGCGCCGTCGTCAATACCAAGGTTGACCGCAGTGTGGCAATCGGCGGAAGGTCCTCCGTACCTCCCCAAGAAAGACTTGACTGCCTGACCGACCCATTTGACTGAGGATACCACTGCTGCCTTCTCGTCAGAAATACGCGACTCCATGTCCTCCTCGAGGGCAATCAGCAGCTCGGTAGAGGCCATCTTCAGCGAAGACACTACAGACTTCCCAGACCCACTGCTGGAAATACCGTAATCGTCTATGTAGATGTCGAGCTGAACCTGGCAGGGGGGCCTCAGGAGGTCCATGGTGGGGATAACGTAGGCCCTAATGTACGTAGTAGCGAAACTGCAACCTGCAACACTTCCATGCTCATGAGGGCCATGCAACAGGCCCTCCAAAGAAATAAACCGAGCACCACCGTAGGCCTTCATGGAGACCCTGTAAATCTGCTCGGGGGAACCTTGGGCCTCACACCGTGCCACGAGCTTAGGAAGCCGAATCGATTCATAGAACATGTAGAGGTCCCAGAGGATCTTAGTTACCGCCTTTCCTTTTCCCACCGCGTGTTCGTTTCTGATGGCTTGCCTGTAGACAACGTCGAGCGCAGAGTTAAAGGAGCCAGCAGCTAAGCATACCCGCTTATGATCGGCTTCCCATCGGCGCATGGGCGGCGAACTCTCGCCCACTAGCGATAATAAACTGAATCGAGGCCGATCGGCCGATAACCTCCTGCTGGTTTGGCAAGAAGGAGAGTGATCAATACCTGCGTCTGGCGGGCCATGGGCCCAGCACACTCGATCGTGTAGTAGAGCGTGGACAGAACTGACAAGGGGCCTGGTTGCAACAAAGAAAAATTGCGCATGTGGAAGCCATCCACACTTGTGGCAGTACCTGTTGCGCAGGACTTACTCGCAGTGATCAGATCTTCTGGCGCGAGGGGGCTTAGGCCTTCCAAGTACTCGATGGGCTCCTTGGAGGCCTAAGGAGGGTGGGGTTTCGAGTTCCAAAGCTCACCGAACCTAGCCCCCTCCGCCTGGAGGAGCGAAAGAGGACCCGAGAGGGCGAGCCCCTCGGCCGAGAGCGTGGTGGTCGCGACCCACGGCTTCAACTCATTGGTCCAACGATGGGCACTGCGACCTCCCATGTCGATGCCGTCTAGAAGCCAGCTACGCCACGCCTTCAAATATCGCTGCGAGGAAGCCCTAGCATACTCTTCGAATCTGGGTTCAAGAAGAGCTTGACATTCAAGAAGGCCTCCCGAATCAGCGTGAACACCCTCAAGCCCCAGGACAAGAACCGAGCACTCACGATATAGCTCCAGGAAATCTCCCAAAGCACTGATAATATCTTGGGGCGCCTCCAGGATGTGATGTTCGTATTTGTTGAAGGTCAAAACGTGACCGTCGGTCATGGCGCCCAACAGAAACCGAATGGATCGGTATAGCCATCTGCCAGCGAAAAGCATGGGGTCCTTGTAGGAGGCCATGGAGTCCCTGTCGAGCGCCGAGACCCAGGCCAGCCGAGGCCGCCTGCCCCTAGTACCCCAAATAGGCAGGTCCGTCTGGAGGACTTGAGACAATTCCCACTCAGCGGTATCCGCCCATAGGCGATACAGCGCGTCGAGGTGCCGCTGCACTTGGCCTCTGGGGGCCTTCCGAGCGACAAGATCCATACCATGATTGGCGCAGTCCAAGAGCTCCGAAAGGTCAGGAGGGCGGGGCTTCGGGCCGACTGGCCTCTCTGCTGGAAGCTTCGGGGGCTTCAGGAACTGGAGGGCCTTGAGCTCAGCCAACTGCGGGTGGAAGAGGATGCGCACTGGGGTGTGCGTCTTGATGTCGGTGCCGAGCACCGTCTCGACAGACTGCAAGCAGCGGCTGAGGCCTGCAGACAAGATGAAGAAGTCTAACGTGCGAAGTCCTCCCGTGCTAGTACAAGTCCCCTCCTTAGTGAAAGTGATGTTAGACTTCAACCAGCCTGGCACTGCCGAATCGGCCACAACTTCAAGCGTCATGTTGAAATCTCCTCCGATGCAATGTGGGCCAGCAAACTCGCTGTGCCGAGATCCGACTGCTGATAGGATTGCGAGGTTCCTGTCAGAGAGGTCCTCACTGTCATGAAGATAGAGGGACGTGAACAATGTTTTGGATCTTGAGCTCGTACCTCGCTCTTGAGCCAAAACGGATACGGAAAAATCTCTTCTGATTATTACAATTATCAGCCGGCCCCCTTGCGGGGCAAGCAGGCTCCGCGGATGACGCGTGCTGCTCCCTGCTCCTGTTCCAGTTCCCAGTCTCTGATGTTACAACTCTGTCTTCTGCTTCCTACTGTGAATTGTTGTTGAATTCAGCGCGATGGGGGGAGCCAAAACGGGCTCTGGTTACCTTCACCTGAGGGGGGGGTCTCAGAATTTATCGGGGTCCTGGGACACGCAAAAATTATCCCAGTGCGACCCTACATAGGAGTTGGAGCCCCTAGGAAAGCAGCATTAGTACGAACAGTAAAGCTAAAGCTGAGCTAAAGCTAAGTTAAAACTAACCTAAAGCTAAGCTAAAGCTAAGCTAAGCTAAGCTCAAGGTAAGCTAAAGCTAGGATGAAGCTAAACTAAAGCTTAGCTAAAGCCTAAAGCTGAACTACGGCTAAGCTAAGGCTAAGCTACCGCTAAGCTAAACCTGAGCTAAAGCTAAGGTGCAGATAAGCTAAAGCTAAGCTACAGCTAAGCTAAAGCTACGGTAAAGGCTAAGCTATACCTAAGCTAAAGCTCAGCTAAAGCTACGGTAAAAGGCTAAGCTAAAGCTAAGCTAAAACTAAGCTAAAGCTAAGCTAAAGCTAAGCTAAAGCTAAGGTGCAGCTCAGCTAAAGCCAAGCTAAAGCTAATATGCAGCTAAGGTACAGCTAAACTAAAGCTAAGCTAAAGCTAAGCTAAAGCTAAGCTAAATTAAGCTAAAGCTAAGCTGAAGCTAAGCTAAAGCTAAGCTGAAGCTAAGCTAAAGCTAAGCTAAAGCTAAGCTAAAGCTAAAGCTAAAGCGAAGCTAAAGCTAAGTTAACGCTAAGGTGCCGCTAAGCTAAAGCCAAGCTAAAGCTAAGCTAAAGCTAAGCTAAAGCTAAGCTGAAGCTAAGCTGAAGCTAAGCTAAAGCTAAGCTGAAGCTAAGCTACAGCTAAGCTAAAGCTAAAGCTAAAGCGAAAGCTCTCAGGGGACTGGGGGAACCGCGGGGCGGGGACTGGGGGAACCGCCCGGGGCGCTGTGCACTGCCCGGCCCTTTAAGCTAAGAGAGTAAGAACCCTTCTAGGCAGAGCCTGTGTAGGGAAAAAGTTAGATTCGCGCCCCCTGAAGCCATAATCCCTGGTTGCTTATGCAATATTCGCGTTGCCCTTGGTTTATTGATAGATTTTGGCACGCTCGCTTTTCCGGGCTTCCGACGCTCCAAGACGGCCCAACAGGCCCCCCAAGACCGCCCCAAGACCGCCCAAGAGGCTTGCAAGAGCGCCCCGAGAAGATTCTGAGGATCATCGAAACGCCACGAAGTTTCCACTGAGGATCCGTTTTGAAGGCCCCCAGAGCGCAAGAAACTCACCAAATTTCAAAATCACACAGAACACATCACACGAAAATAGACTGAACCCGAAGATGAACGATAATAAGTGCGCTGAACCTTTCCCGACAACATCCGAGGCACTTTCCAATCGCTATCCCGGGGAAGGCCTAAAAGGAAGAACGCAAGGCAACCATGCAAGCCTTACGCAACCATCAGCTCGAAGCGTATATTGGCAATGTGTTAACGCGTGCCCCACGCGGAGCCCTGCAAGTCACCTGGATATCTCAAGTGGCCCCCGTTCGGAGTTCTGACGCGCCTTCACGACGGCGCCCAGGCCTCACAACACAGCCTTCGCAGACCTGATTCTCCGAGAGAGGGAGCCGGCGGCAAGGGGCGAAGCCCTCACGGTCACCAATGTCGGTGGACATGGGGGCGATCAAAGAGAGCCAACTGTTACCGTTTTTTGGCATGAGCAAACGCGTCCTGAGGGAAACGGGTCCTGGACCCCAGGGTAGGGCGACGAAATCTATACATATCCACTGACTACCTACCAGACCACCCCGATTCAACCCGAAGACCCGAACTTGATCCGAATTTCGGGTTGGGGGGGGGTACGGGTTCCATGTGTTCCTTCAACGCTCCCCGACCCCCCACCACTGGAAGTGGACGGCAAACTGAGGCCTTCGGGTTGGGTTGGGGTGGTCTTGTGGGTGGTGATCCACTGCTCCCTGGCCGGGCCCATCCTGAAACCAGCAGCGGTGTACACAAGCAGCGGAAGGAGGGCGCAAACACAGCTCCTGGGCTCAGGGTGGGTCTGGCCAGGGAGCAGTGGATGTGTGCAGACTTCGTCGCCCGACAGGGGCTTCCCCCAAGATGAAGCTTCTCGCTTTTCGCCCGAGTCGCTCTTGGCGGTCCTGGGGCGCTGCTTCGTAGTGCGCCCCCCTCTTCCCCCTCCTCCACTGCTTCCTCCTCGCCATTCTCAACAACAACATCATCAACGCCAACAGCATCATCGTCAACATCCTTAGCTTTCATCCCCTCCTGATTGCACATCTCATTCATCCGCTGTCGGTCCGCATCATGACAAAGGAGCAAAGGCGTTAAACGAGGGACTGGGACGGGAAGCGCAGCGAAAGGATGGCCTTGCATATACAATATCCCTCGATGTGGTCATTCTTCATATCCTGGCTTCAGCTGTGCACGCAAAAATGCGACGTGCAAAGTAGAGTAGTTTGGCAGGGGCGTCGACGACTGACTCGAGGAGCAAAGAGGTGGAAAGAGGGAGCGTGAAGGAAGCAGTGGGAGGGGAAAAAGAAGGTTGGGGTGGTAGGGGAAGGAAGAGTGGGGAGGGACAGGCCGGGAGCGCTCGCGCAAGGTCCGACAACCCACTCGTCCAACCCATCCCTTTCCACTGAGCTGACTTGTCTCGATCCGCGGGCGCGTGTCACAGCCGACCTGGCAGTCCCCCAAAGACTCCTTCGTCGTGTTGTGCGCGAAAGGGGAATGGGAGCTGCGCGCATGGGAAAAAGAGGAGACGGAAGAGGAGGAGGAGGTGGAGGATGAGCAGGAGGAAGTGTAGGAGAAGGAGGAAGGAGGACGAGGACGAATAGCAGCAGCGGCGGGAACTGGGGTGAAGGAGCGGGAGGAGCAAGAGGACCCAGTGGAAGGCGGAGGGGAAAGGAGCAGGGCGACAACGAGGAGGTAACTCTCAGATCCAGAAAAGTGGCCCGTGCTGGGGCGATAGCGAAATTCTGAACGATGGGAGCAAAGTGCCCATCCTAAAAGGGGACCCAAGCTGCAGCGAGAGCACCATCTTGAAACAGCGAAGGCGTTCCGAGTTGAAAGACCCGCAGGAACATCGAATAATGAAAGCCTGTGTACAACAAACGTGCGCAGAGAGGGGCGGGCCACTCCCCGGCCATCTCCGGCCAACTAGTAGGAGGGGAACGAAAACGGAGTAGGGAAGCTGGTGGGGAGAGGGGGGATGGGGGGGAGGGCGAGGGGAGAGGGGGGGGGGGAACGGGAAGGGATGGAGGAGGGGGGGATGGGGGAAGGGGGATGAGGAAGGCGGGGGATCAACACACGTAGAAACAACACACTGCGCCATTCCGAGCAGGAAGACGGGGCCCTCTGCTTCCCCACTCCCCTCGCCCATCCCCACATCCTCTCCTCCCCTCCCGTCCACGATCCACCCCTCATATCCCCTTCCCCCCTTATCCTCCCCTGTTGCCCCCTCCCCTTCCCGTCCTTTGTGTCCCCTCCCGCCCCCGACCCTCTCCTACACCCCCCTCCCCATACCCCCCCCCTATCCCACTATCCCTCCTTCCCTCCCTCTTCCTTGCCCTATCCTCATCCCTCCCCCCTTTCTCCCCTCCCCTCCCACCCTGTCCGTTCCCACCTCCCCCTCCCCCTCCGTTAGCTTCCAGTAAGGATCCCCCGAACGACCTGTCCTCGGTGGGGAAGTTCTCCATCCAATTTATCAGGGGCGCCGACCGTATGATGCCCACCGCGGCGTCGAAGTTGAAACGCCCCTGCTGGGCGACCTCCCCGTGGTTTGCGCCGCAGAAAGAAAAATGAGGAGGTGGAGGAGGAATAGCCGAATCAAACAAACCAAACACGGGTGGACCAAGCTACGGGACTGCGCAAGAATTGAAATATAAGAGACGGAGGAGGAAAAGAGGAAGAGGAGGAGCGGGAGGAGGAGGGCGAGCGAGTCAACAGCAGCGGACGACGAATAGGGGGAGACACGCGGAAGGGGAAGGCGGAGGAGCAGGATCGGGAAAAAAAGCGAGGGGGAGGGGGAGGGGAAACTTTAATTGCGGGGGGTGGAAGCTGTACGAGAGAAAGCACGGCGGCAAGAACATGACGATTGCAGCTTTCAGCTCTTCCGTGCGCTACACAGGCACGCGCTTGCGCTGAAACCATTCGGCGGCAAAACATCCCATGTGACTCCGGACTTGCGCGGGCAGTCGAACAGCTCTGGCGGAGAACAATGACAACAGAGGAGGAGGAGGAGGAGGAGGAGGAGGAGGAGGAGGAGGAGGAGGAGGAGAGGGATACCCCCTCGCTGTCTGACCTGGGGGCGCGCGGCGCGGCGGGGCGCGGGCCCGCCCTCTTTGGCGGGTCGCTCGCTCGTGTTCTCAGGAGCGGCACAGGGGGGAGCTCGCGCGAGCGAGCGATGGGGGCGTGAGTCCTCCCTGGCCGTGGCCGCTGCCGTGGCCTCGGCCGTGGCCGTGGCCTTGGCCGTGGCCGTGGCCGCGGCCGTGGCATTGGCCGTGGCTGTGGCCGCCGTTGCCGTGGCCGTGGCCTTGGCCTTGGCCGCATCTGCGTATGTTGGTGACCTCGGTCAGCAGACGCGATGTCTGAACAGCTGCCCGAAGACTGAAGCGGAATGGTGGCCCAGGGTGACATGGAGGGCGCGGCGGAGGTGCGCGGACGCCTTGACCCGGTAGATGGGAGAAGGCGACGGATGTAGACAGACTGCGAAGGATGCGCGCACTTTGTGGCGCGATCTCCTCGAAGCTCACCGCAATCACAAGCTGCGGGGGCCGCTCCGTCCGCAGCCCGAGTTCGCCTCCTCGCCGGGCGCGCCGGGGGCCTCCGCCGCCTGGGCCTCGAGCCCCGCCCGACCCACGAGACAAGCACCCGCCCAACCTCCCCCCCCACGCGCCCGCGCCCGCCCGCAAACCCCGCCCACGCCCGAGCACCCCAACAAACCCCACCCCCCACCCCACGGGCCAAGCCCCCCCAATGCCCCCCCACCCCCACAGGCGCGGCCTCCCCTCAGAAACGCCCAAGCCCCTCCCCCCCCCAAAAAAAAAACGCAAACCACCCACCCCCAAACCGCCCCAGGCGAAAAAACATCAAGCCCCCACCCCACCCCACCCCGCGACCCGCACGCCAGGACAGGCGGGGAAGCAGAAGCCCAAACGCGGAACATGGCCGCGAACGCAGCGCCAACCCCGCTGGGTCGCCGCACTCTCCTGCGCCAATCTCGTAATGATTTGTTCCTGCGCGCGGCGCCGCTCGCGCGAGGCGCCGCGTCGGTAGGGCGAACTATGCGTGCACCTTCGATTTGTACTTGCGCACAACGCCGCTCGCGCGCGGCGCCGCGTCGGCAGGGCGACCTGCGCGCGCAACTCCCCGCAGCGGCCCTCGGCGCCACACACACACACACACACACACACACACACGGAGGAGAGCAAATGCGTTCAACGACACACTGCCTAAAGCGCTAACACCGCCATCTGCTCCCTCCCCTCGGCGCGATTTCTCCCGCGGTGCAAACGGTCCGCGTGCCCGCCTTGCTTAAAAGTCCCCGAGACGGTCCCGAAGACCCCCGAGCACCGGCACAAGACGCTCCGAGAGTCTCGAAACCGCCCGGCCAGCGCCCAAAACGACCCAATAAAGCCCCAAGACAGCGCCAAGATAGGCCCCAGAAGGGAAGCCTGCACCGATAATTCCTGCCGTCTGCCCCTGGGCACCCCCTCGAGGTCCTAAGAGGCCCCCCAGAGCCCCCAAGAGTCCCCCATGAGGCCCCGAAGACGCCCCAAAAGGCCTCCAAACAGCGCCCAATAGGCTTCAAAACTGCCTCCCCCCCAAAAAACGGGAGCCCTCCCACGACACCCCACGAACATTCCGAAGGCTTCATTATCACCCAAGACCCAGGCACAGTGGCGGAATCCTGGCGGACTGGGCCGCAGGCCATTCGCCAATGCCCACAGAGCCCCAGCGCAGCTCTCCAATTTCAAAAACGTGCACGCGCACTTTCAGCGGCGCAGAGGAACCTCAGGCGCGGTCCACGAATGGAGACGTGATTTACACACAAGCACATACAAACACATACACACAAACAAACAAACAAACAAACAAACAAACAAACAAACAAACAAACAAACAAACACACAAACGCACACACACACACACACACACACAAACACACACACACACACGCCATCGATCAAACACGGGAAGAGGAAAGGTGACAGACGATGAAGCAAATGAGCAGAGGGATGAGGAGGAGGAGGAGGAGGAACCAGACCTCCTTACGTCGCGGAATATCCGCCGATCCGGCGGGTGAGGTCAAAGACAACTAAGCTACAGCCTAGAGCCTGAGCTTCAGCTCTGCTGGGGGGGGTGCTGGGGGGACTCTGCCAGGGAAGGGGGGGGACCCCACTGGTGCGCCTGTGCTCCGCTTTGCACCGCTTTCTTGGGGGGCCTTGGACATGTAAAAAAAAACAGATCTTGACCTCTTAGGCCCCACATAATCGCTGAACGATTGGGACCAGACGCTCTGGATATCCTCCAGTCGGCCGCAAAAGCGCTCAAGACCTTCCAAGAGGCTCCAAAGAGCACCCCCAAGAGGGCGCAAGAAGGCAAACACGATTCTATTACTCTTCGGAAAACCAGTACTTCTAGCATGTTCGACTTCTGAAGAGTCCCCACAGGCGTCATGATCACCCACACAGAGGCCTCCAAGATGGCCCCATGACGGCCCACGAGGCCCCCAAGACGGCCCCAAGAGGCCTCCGAGACAGCAAAGATGGCCTCCAAAACGGCTCAGATGGCCCCAATATGTCTCCAAGACGGCCCAAGATGCACCAAAAACGGCCTAAGATGGCCTAAAGATGGCCCGAGACGGCCCAAGAGGCCCCCAAGAGGCCCCGCAGACGGCACAAGAGGCATCCAAGAGTTCCTCCAGGAGGACCCGGACCCGAAGAGACCAAATTCATTGATGTTCCTTAGGTCCTTGAAGGATGTTGGCACTTGCTCTTTTTCGGCACTCCGACGGCTCAAGACGGCCCAAGAGGCCCCCAAGATCGCCGCGAGATCGCCCACGAGGCCTCCAAGATGGCCCGATGACGGCCCAAGAGGCCCCCAAGACGGCCCCAAGAGGGCCCCAAGAGGCCTCCGAGACGGCCAAGATGGCCTCCAAGATGGCTAAGATGGCCCCAAGATGCCTACTAGACGGCCCAAGATGCACCAAAAACTGCATAAGATGGCCTAAAGACGGCCCAAGACGGCCAAAGAGGCCCCTAAGAGGCCTCCCAGACGGCCCAAGAGGCCTCCAAGAGTTCCTCCAGGAGGACCCGAAGAGACCAAATTCATTGATGTTCCTTAGGTCCTTGAAGGATGTTGGCACTTGCTCTTTTTCGGCACTCCGACGGATCAAGACGGCCCAAGAGGCCCCCAAGATCGCCCCGAGATCGCCCACGAGGTCTCCAAGATGGCCCGATGACGGCCCAAGAGGCCCCCAAGACGGCCCCAAGAGGGCCCCAAGAGGCCTCCGAGACGGCCAAGATGGCCTCCAGGATGGCTAAGATGGCCCCAAGATGCCTACTAGACGGCCCAAGATGCACCAAAAACTGCATAAGATGGCCTAAAGACGGCCCAAGACGGCCAAAGAGGCCCCTAAGAGGCCTCCCAGACGGCCCAAGAGGCCTCCAAGAGTTCCTCCAGGAGGACCCGAAGAGACCAAATTCATTGATGTTCCTTAGGTTCTTGAAGGATGTTGACACTTGTTCTTTTTCGGCACTCCGACGGCTCAAGACGGCCCAAGAGGCCCCCAAGATCGCCGCGAGATCGCCCACGAGGCCTCCAAGATGGCCCGATGACGGCCCAAGAGGCCCCCAAGACGGCCCCAAGAGGGCCCCAAGAGGCCTCCGAGACGGCCAAGATGGCCTCCAAGATGGCTAAGATGGCCACAAGATGCCTACTAGACGGCCCAAGATGCACCAAAAACTGCATAAGATGGCCTAAAGACGGCCCAAGACGGCCAAAGAGGCCCCTAAGAGGCCTCCCAGACGGCCCAAGAGGCCTCCAAGAGTTCCTCCAGGAAGGCCCGAAGAGCCAAACACATTGAGTATCCTTAGGTGTTCGAGAGATTTTGGCATGTGCGCCTTGTCGGCCTTCCGACGGCCCAAGACGGCCCAAGAGGTCCTCAAGGTCGCCCCAAGATCGCCCAAGAAGCCTCCAAGATGGCCGCAAGACGGCCCAAGAGGCCCCCAAGACGGCGACTTCCAACACGTCCAAAATACTATCCAAAACGGCCCTGAAGCGCCCCAAGAGAGCCCCAAGCAGGTTCAGAGAGACCGCCAAGACGGCTTCCAACGGTGTCAGAAGGGTCGGGAACGCCCTAAGACGGCCAAAGAGGCCCCCACGAAGCCCCCAAAGGCCCCCAAGAAGCCCCCAAGAGGCCCAGGGAGGCTCCTAAGAGCCCTCCGAAAGGCTCCAAAGAAGCTCCGCAGAGGCCTCAAGACGGTTCCCAAGAAGTCTCCTCCTCCTACTCCTCCTCCCCCATCATCCTCATCCTCGTCCTCATCCTCATCCTCATCCTCATCCTCCTCCAAATCATCATCCTCCTCCCTCTTCTGATCCTTATCCTATTGCCCCCCCACGCGCTCCCCGAAGGCTTTCCAAACCGACTCGGGGAACAACTGGCCCGATAGCTTAGCCAAGCTCCACCCCAGCTGTCGGTCACATAGACGCTTCCAAAGGGGCAGGGGGCGGCGGTGATTCGCCGTAGGCGTCTTCGATAATGCCA